AGCATTGATACTCAAAGTATACTGTTGAACAGTTTTCAAGAACCTTTTCGACGAGATAGAAAAGGAAATAATTATGGTGGTGTTATAATTTACTTGAAAGATAACATTCCGAGTAAAAGACGATTTGACTTAGAGCTTGAGGAAATTGAATGTATTTGGGTTGAATGTAATATATATCATAGGAAATTCTTAATAGGAACTTTCTATCGCCCCCCAGATTTAGAGACTAGTAAGTGGGATTACATTGCTTATTCCATAGAAAAAGCGAAGGATACTGGAATTAAAAATATAGTTATTACGGGAGATTTTAATGACAACATATATAATACGACTAATTCCAAGGTACTTGATATAATAAAAGACCTATGCATGTCGCAACTTATTACCGAATGTACACATTTTACCGAAAATTCTGAAACGCTATTAGATCTCTTGATAGTTAATAATTTAGATGTAATCGAGTTCTCGGGAGTTGGTGATAATATATTACCGAGTAATATTAGGTATCATTGTCCAATATTTTGTGTACTCAAATTTCCTAAATCATATGCAAGAACTTTTAAGCGTAAAATTTGGTCTTTTTCAAATACCGATTTTCATGATTACCAAATAAATCTAAGTAATAAAAACTGGGACAATTTGATATGTAATGATGTTGAACGAGCTTGTCATAATGTTACAGACGCAATAATTGAAACTGCCACTGAAAATATACCGAATAAAACTATTATTTCCCGTCCAAACGATCCACCATGGATGCACAACGAACTCAGGTTATTTATTAGAAAACGTAAACGTTTACACAAAATTGCCAAACGAACAAAATCTTCTGACGACTGGGCTAAGTTTAGAAAAATGAGAAATATTTGCGTGAATAAAACAAGAAATGCTAGGCAAAATTATTTCATAAAACTAAGTGATCAACTTAGATCAGGTACATTATCTCCTAAGCAGTGGTGGTTAACATTAAAAAGAGTTACCGATTTTTCAAATACAACTAGAAGCTCTTATCCTCCAATGATAAAAAGCGATAACGATTTACCAGTGAGTGAAATCAAAGGTAAAGCTGATTTGTTTAATTCTTATTTTTGTTCACAATCTATAGTCAACGACGCAGGAAGGGAACTACCACCACTCCCCGATGCAAATGAAAATAAGAATGTGTTAAATAATATTATTATTTCCGTTGAAGATGTTTTGGACGTTTTACAACTTTTAAATTCTAATAAAGCCAATGGGCCGGATGAAATAAACCCTACCTTGCTTAAACAAGCTGCTACAGAACTTGCAGAACCTTTAAGTAAACTATTTAATTTATCTTTGCAACAGTCAATAGTTCCAGATCAGTGGAAAATTGCAAATGTAACCCCCGTGTATAAAAATGGCGCAAAGAATGTCGTTAGTAATTATAGACCTATATCTTTACTTAGTGTCGTAGGGAAATGTATGGAGCGATGTGTTTTTAAATATTTATATAACTTCATTCATACAAATGATATTTTAACACCAAAGCAATCTGGTTTCAGACCTAATGACTCTACAGTCAACCAATTGTTGAGTATTACAAGTGATTTTTATAAAGCTGTTGATCAAGGGAAGGAGGTTAGAGTCGTATTTTGTGATATTAGTAAAGCTTTTGATAAAGTGTGGCATAGGGGCCTTCTACATAAGTTAGAAAAAATAGGCATCTCCGGAAAACTGCTTAAATGGTTTGAAAATTATTTATACAAAAGGAAGCAACGTGTTGTAATAAATGGAGCGAAATCGGAACTAGAATATATTAAAGCTGGTGTTCCCCAGGGGAGCATTCTTGGTCCACTGCTATTTCTTATTTATATAAATGACCTGGTAGTAGATATAGAATGTATAATAAAACTTTTCGCGGATGATACATCGCTTTATGTTATTGTTGAAAACGCATATAATTCATCTAATCTGATTAATAGCGACCTTGCAAAAATCAATGAGTGGTCAAACACCTGGCTTGTAGCCTTCAACCCTTCCAAAACTGAATGTTTAACAATATCTAGAAAAAATCGAAAACCATTTCATCCATCGCTTGTATTTAACGATGTTCATTTAAAAAAAGTCGATGCACATAGGCATTTGGGAGTTATATTTGCTAGTAATTTATCCTGGAAATTACACGTGGATGAAATTATAGGTAAAGCTTATAGTCGCCTGACAATGATGCGTAGAGTTAAATTTATACTGGATAGGAAAACGTTACAAAATATCTATTTTTCGTTTGTGAGACCTATACTTGAATACGCCGATATCGTTTGGGATAATATACCAGACTACTTAGTAGATAAACTTGAAGGTGTTCAACTTGAAGCTGCTAGAATAGTTACGGGAGGGAATAGAATGGCAGCTAGGTACTTGTTATACAAAGAGACGGGATGGGTGACCCTATCAAAAAGAAGAGAAAATCATCGTTTAATTCAATTCCATAAAATATATCATAAAAAGTCCCCTGATTACTTAGTAAATATTGTCTCCGAGTATGGCAATCATAGACATAGTTGCAACACTAGACAAGAAAACTCACTACAAGAAATCCAAACTAGAACCCAACTATACTATAATTCCTTCTTTCCCAGTACAATACGTATTTGGAATAAATTACCTTTGGTGATTCAAAATAATCCATCCCTTTCAAGTCTTAAATCATACTTAAATTCTAATTTATCTAGAATACCCAATTATTTCTTTGTTGGGAGTAGGCTTGGTCAGATTTTACATACGAAACTCAGACTGGAATGCAGTTCTTTGAATTTACATATGTTTCGTAGAAATCTGTGTATTTCTCCACTATGTTCATGCGGCGAGATTGAAAGTATCGAACATTTTTTCTTCCATTGTAACAATTTTATAAGAGTACGAAATAGAACTATTCTTTCAATACCTCATCACATAACTGTTGATATATTACTTTACGGTTCACAAAATCTGTCAGAAAGGGAAAACCAAAATATTTTTCTTGTTGTCCAAAACTTTCTGATAGAAAGCAAAAGATTTTAAAACAAATCACTTGATATTTTTACTACGAGATATTATTCGGTCTCTTTTTTCAGTTCAAATTTTATTAGTGATGTGGCATGAATGAGTGAGGTAAATTTTATTTTGTTATGTATAAATTGGAATTTTTGGAGATTTTCAGCGACTTCAATTCCAGTAAACTGTTCACAATATAAATGTATGAAAGTTTTCCATATGAGTGTACTATTTTAGGTTTCATTCACATACAATTCTCTCACTTGTTGAATTTGCAGAAAGAGGGATTAATATAAGCCTTATGGCTTGTTTCCCAATTCTTTTGTATTTATTACTAGTGTATTGTACCATTGTCAATTTCTTCAATAAAATATTGTTTAAACTAAATCTATACTTTTGTATCTTTGATGAAATTTAATGCAAAAAAATTATTAAAAAATAGAATCCCTCATAATATCATTATAGATTTTCGGAAAATGTATTTCTTGTATTATCATTGATTTGATTTGTTGTAATGTTTTGTCACATTATAGAAAATCTTCCACATTCTCAAAAAATTGTTCGTATCTTCTATTTTCTGATGCTTGAAGCATTTCTTTCAATGTATTATTATATAGAGAATAAAAATGGCTAAAACGGAAACTTTGCGATAATTATGTATGTTTGTAATTATAAAGACTGCACAAATTGTTTCCTAATTATTGTATGTCATTAATCATCATTTTCTAAATGAATACAGCTTAATTTGCATTGGAAATTGATCTGTATTGTTAAATTAAAATTAAAGATCCAGAAAAACGTCTGCTTAAATGCTGAGGAACTAATTTTTTTAAGTGAAACATGGTTTTTTTCTATCAAAGTAAAATGATTCGTTTTAAACTAAAAGTAAAAAAGAATGCAGAATTATCTTAGTCTTAACTTTATAGAGGATATTTTTTTCTAAAATAAGACCTACATATACGTCCTAAAAGGAGAAGCAAGGCATTAAAAGAAATACCCAATATATATGATTGTGTGCAAAAGTAACAATCGTTCATTTGTTTTATCAGATGACATGTTATTAAAAAACAATTTAATTGCAAATGCGGATGTTTCATAATTTTAAAACAAAAACAGTAATCAAATGACATTAGTAATGACAAATGACATTAGTAATGAAAAAGAGACCTTAGCGATTTCATTTTATCATAAATTAATCATGTTAACCATAAATCAAATATCTAACAGTTCTGCACATAATAGCATTAATGAGTAGCAGTTTTATCCTCTCAAATGGTGAAAAGGTTTGTTCACTAATAAAAAGATTGATAGCAATATTCATTAAGTCATGCAAAGTTGGAACCTGCAAAGCGTTTACCACTTTATTTTAATTGAATTTTATAGCATATGTGACTTCCACGTACACATTCTTCATACTGATAAATAAACTCAGAAAGTTATTTAATATAATTCGTAAACACGTTTATCTATTTTAAATCTTGTTTCCTTGTTTATATAAAGAGAAAAGTTAATCTACGTCTATATTTTCTCCACCCTATGTTCACATGCCAGTGAGATATACGATAAAATAAAGTACAAGTTTTTAAAGGACCAAGATACATTCATTTTTACGGAGCAAAATCAAGGTAGTTTGAGAGAATATTGTTATGGTTTATAAAAGCGTCTCATACTATAAAAGTTATTAAATATATACGTGAAATAAAGAGAAAAATAATTTAGCTCAAAAATTTAATTCACTGTTGAATCTGTAATAAGTTTTGTACAATATAGGTGTACGTAAATTCTAAACAATTCTGATATTTGCTTTGATTTGTTTGTAATAAAAAAAATAGAGAAGCACGAATTCAGGACATGTTTTAAAAACCTATAGCTTAACCTGTGATATAAAAAATTCTAACAAGACAAAAAGCGGACGTAAAAAGAGAATTTTGAGTTTCATTACAAACTTTATAAAGAATATAAACAAAATCTACACAAGATTTTAAATAAAAACTATATATAACCTGGAGCCCAGTATGTCTTGTTAATGGGAGAACCATTTATCCATCTCCATATTTCCGATGATTTCTCATCTCCAATGAAATAGATAACTCCTTGTTTTAGGTATCCTACAAAAATGATCACTCTTTAGTCATGAAGTGGTCTTCTATCATTACAAGCAATCCTGTTTAATTTGTATTTTAACTCACCCAAAGTACAGATTTTGTACATAGCAGTTGCTAAAGTTCCTTCTGCCCTTTCACATTGCTTAGCAGCTTCAATCCAGTTGCCTCTGTGTTCTTCAAACAAGTACAAAAGTCTAGATTCTGGATATGTTTTTCTCGAGTCGAAAATTTCGGGAAACGAAAAATTATGCCTATAAATAAACGTAAAAAAAATACAGAGAGAGAAAAAAGAAAAAAGAAAGGAAAGAAAGGTACAATTAATGAGAAAACATACCTATGAAGATAAATAAAATTGTTTGTTTGATTTCTAACATTCTCTAGATTTGAACAACTTAATCAGGAAGTAACTTAGTCAAATAAATTGGTTTTTTTTTTAAGTCTTAACAAAGTAGATAATTACGCACTTAGAGTTCTTCAAGATATGTTTTCCTAATTCTTCCGCATTTAAAGTTGTTGTTTACTAAAGCAGTGCATGTGTAATTTTTCAATCACTATTCCTCAATTTTTAAATATTCCAATAGCCATCCCTCAGATTGCAGTAAAACAATGGACCTTATCTTTCTATCTATCTATCTATCTATCTATCTATCTATCTATCTATCTATCTATCTATCTATCTCTCTCTCATTGTGATAGGAAGTAATTTTTTTTAAGAATGTGTTGGAAGTTGTACGTTTTGTAAATGTACTTTTTAAGCTTATGCTCATAATTGAATGAAGTGCTTATACCTGCTTTTTTTCATAGACTTACTCCATGCCAAACTATTGCCTGTCATTAATTGTTGCGTGTTAATTTTTCTCTTTTCTGTTCTCCATCTAAACATCGGACTATTTTTAGAAAACATCTTTCAAGGAAGTGTAATTAAAGTGGATGCAAGTTCATATAGTGCACCCCGCCCTGGTCCTTGAGTAGAAAATCGAGAAAAACTGAATAATTTCTTTGAAATCACGCCCATGTGGTGGCTACAAAAGGGTTTCAGTTTCATACATGAGTATGTTTTTTATTTATGCATCAAAACCCCTCACCTTCTTCAAAAATAGCAAGGTTGTGATCAGTCATATCACTGCCAAAGTATTCTTGTATAGTTTGTGCTTAGTGAATCAAGTAAAGGCCTGTGATAAAAGAGTAGGGTCACCATCACGGTTAAAAAACATCCATGATTAATCGAAAAAAAGAACAATTTCTTTTAAAAATATATTTTTTTAGAACAGTATGATTGTATATTGTTTCATTACTATGTAACCTTCCTCGTGCAGAATAAAGTAAAATTCAAATATCATCATTTTTGTATCGAACAATTAATAATACAAAGTGTTTATAATTTCTCAGATTTAATTATATCGTATAACTGGTATTTTCTGCGGTTGTCCATTTTTTGCGGATAAGATAAATCCGCAAAAATTACAATTGCAAAATATTACTGAAATATTAATTAAGATATTCTATACACGCAAGTATTTTTAAACGTTGTGTATGTCCATTAAATTGATTTAATGTTATATATTTCATAACTTCTTACTCTATAATATGAAAAAATATGCATATGGATGTATGAAATAAAAGTGATTTAAAAATACTTTACGAAGATAGTAGAGCTAAGTTCTAATGCATTGTAGGTCAACATGTCATTAAATAAAAATTCAAACTGTGTAAAACATGGCATTGTTCTCACTTCTGTCATATCCTTGGAATCTGGCATTCATATCACATAAATACATTTTTGCAGTATAATGCAACCGTAGAAATTAAAAACGCAGAAATAAATTTTCTACTTTCCAGGGATCAAATCGCAAAAATTTCCAATCGTACAAAATACCAGTTATACGGTATATATTAACTTAAGAATAACATAAGTTGTGATTTCTCTTTAAGTTAACAGTAACTGTTCCCTTCGCCAAGCGCCCGGGAGTAGAAATGAAAGATACGGGTCTTTCGGATGAGTCCTAAGAACAGAGGTCCAGTGTAGACGTTGGCACGATAAATAACCCTCACTGCTCAATGATCCTGCGTGCGTTCTAAATTTTTGTAAGTTTGTTCTTTGTTCGAAAGAACAAGAAATGTGTGTGGACAAATAAGTGCTTCCTTTGGACTAATTAAATGTACTAGTACATTAGAAGAATGTTCGGAATTTGTTTGGGTAACTTAGCGAATTATATATTTGTTCGAACAGATTTGATATTCCTTCCTTGGACAAGACATCATTTCTCTGATAAAGGAAAACATCTAGAAAATCCAAGATAGTACATGTAAAAAGCACATGGATCAAGTTCATGTTGGGGATGAGATGTGGATTTCTGATCAATTTTTTATTGACTCAATGCCTTTTCGGTCTCGAGAATTTTATGGAAGTTTTACATGTACTTACAGTTAAGGTTAAAATCACTTGCATCTCAATTAATGCTTGATATTTCGGTTTTAATGAAAATGTACCAAAGATCTCTAAACATTACGTTATCACGCTTTTGCTATATACCCGAAAATTACTTGTATGTTAAAACCATTAATATATAAAAAAAAAAAAATGCACGCAGACGCAACCTAATTATCGGTAGACATTTCAAAGAATTCTCTCTCTCTCTCTCTCTCTCTCTCTCTCTCTCTCTCTCTCTCTCTCTAATCAACACGGATACATCCAAATGTAGTGTAGATTAAACTGATTTAATTTACTCGTCCCATGACGATCAGGGCACGTCAAAAGAAAGATTTGATAAGGCTTAAGCTAATATCTTTATTGTTTAATTTGCACAATTTGAGCAATTAGACTTTCTGGCAATTTATTATTTATATATTTTCAATTATTTTAAATTTTGTTAGGTGTGATAATTGTTAACTATCTTTATAAGTTAAAATATCCTAAATGTGGCCATAAATGTTCAATTTAAAACATCTAGAGTCTCCTTAACGACAAGCAAAGATTGTTTTATTGAATGTATGTTGTTTATCTTCCCATTCAAGAATTTATAACTCATATACAGACGTCATCGTATGCTAGTGAAGGGCTTTAAATTTAGACCTATGCTCTGCACGCAGGGCCATTGAGCAGTGAGGGTTCTTTAGCGTGCCAACGCCAAGGCCGGGACTTTCACTTCTAGTACCGGGCACTTGGCGAAGGAACAGTCACTACCTATGTTTACGTCTTAGGTTCGACGCGGTGCGGCGAACGAGAATCGAACCCGGACCTCACAATCAAGAAGCGAGCGCGTCAAGCAAAGAAAAACAACTCCTAAATAGGAAGGAGTCATTTTTCTACGGGGTTCCGAAAAAAAAAAATCCCTTGGTGAATATTTCATTGGGGTCATTATCGTATTCATTTGGCAGCAAAAACGTAGTTCTCCGTCTCGACATGTGCGCTACAAATGATTCATTTTCTCGACGCAATTGGTCACAATTACTTTCACTAGGGAATGATTGAGATTGATCATGAAATTAAATCTTGAGATCAATGAAGGGCCTCAGAGCTGATAACATTAATTCCTTTGATGTTATTTATCACCTTTATTTTATGAAATTACAAAAATGCTTATTTTTTTATCATTTAGGTAGATTGTTATGTGGAATACAAAAGATTTTGTTCTCTTCACAAATCTTTTAATCCTTTGCACACATCTGATTATTACGATGCCTAACCGTTTTATTTGCAGCTGCAGTCCTTGATGCTTCATTCCATCAAATAAAGTAGAATGAATTAGACAAATGATCAACTTTAGTGTTCTTTGTTAATGAGTAGGATGCAATTTCTCATGAAGTAAAGAAAAAATCTCACTAAGAAATAGTCCACTCAAAGCCAAAATTTAAGTTCTAAACATGAAGACTATCATTAAATTTATATTTCTTTAGGGGATGTTTTTAAATAGAAACATTTTCTTGAACAAGTTGATATGTTTCTGTTAGTGGTTCACTGATGTTAACCGCCACCAGCCTTTTCCATCTCTCCCTTCCGGTTTCCCACCTCAGATCTTTAAGACTTTCCCTGTAAAGTGACGAGGAAATACTTATCAGTAAAAAAGAATTATTTACAAATGAAATTCATTTTAAATAGATCTGAAATACACTTTTTCCCTCCCACACCTAAAGACCTTTAAATTTGTCTCATACAAGTAGACATATTTACATGAAGTACTTATTTAAGACTACAATAAGGAAACAAATTTAATTCTTTATCACAAAAGAGAAATAAATTAAAGCAAACACAAACACGTCTATTCCTTTTGGCCAAAAAGGGAGGAGATGGTTGGAAGAAATTCAAAGGAACGTTCAAATTAGATACAAAGCGCAATTTACATAAAAGAAAATCTAGGAAAGTCGAAATCAAAATGAAAGGATTCTGAATATTTAGATTATTTCTTATTTTACCATGCTTAAACACTTCTATCAAAATACATACCACAAAGATGAGAAACTCATAAAAAGTTAGAAGTCCGTAGTCATTCCTCCTCTGACATGGAATCGGTTACAGAGTTTTAGTGGTACCTTCAAACTGCCGACTGACTATTCCGATCATATAAGTGTTGATAGCATACCGGTTACCTTGGGTACAGTCTTATCAAATAAATTTGAAATGTCGATTGTGTCATCATTATTTCCTTATCATGTTGTCGTCCCTTTTCTAAGGTCAAAATTATCTTTACCTTTCCTTTTTTCAATTTTTTTCCTTAAACTTTCATTTACTTAATAAAGGCGACAATGAGCAGCGGTCGTTATCGGATATTCAATACGTTATGTAAAAGTCGAACTTATATTTTGTAAAAACACTTCGAAAACGGAAAATTGGTAAATGGACGTTCCACATTTACTTTTTCGATAGTGGCAGAATGAAGTTACATGTCAGTAAGGTTAAAATATAAGTGCTTAATGTTTCAAAGGTAGGTTGGCTCTAAATGGTATGAAATTGTTATTATTGAAAGTTGTTGTTGTAATTATATATAATTACCATATGGCTTTACAGAATCTCTTCTAACAGTATTGTTTGATCAGATGTGTCTACTAAAGTTGATTCTGTTGTAAAGGAAATCACTGAAAAACAAAAATAGTATTTTTTTTAAGCAAACCCATTAAAATTATATTATTATACTTATTAGATAGGATAATGTAAGTTATTTAATGAATTTTTATAAGGCAGAATAAAATTGCCCTAAGCAGTTCTAGCTTGCATTTTACATAGAGGTTTTGGACTGGAACCATCAG